GCACTGTGTAACTGCCTCGAGGGTGCTTGACCATTTTAACACAACGTGGTGCGATCACTTCCCTTGTGCGGAGCGAGGGTTCTCCACGCCGCACAACATGATCTACTCGACCACCATTATGGTTACCGCCAAAAAAAAAAACGGAGGTAAAAAAACAAAAAAACGGTAACCTGGTTGCCGAGTTCACGAAGTGAATTGGCTTGTTTTACAACGTCGTTGCCAAGCGACGAAAACCCAACCCCGATGGCAAACACCGGGGGGGGCGGCTTGTTTTACAACGTCGTTGCCAAGCGACGAAAACCCAACCCCGATGGCAAACACCGGGGGGGGCGGCTTGTTTTACAACGTCGTTGCCAAGCGACGACTACCCAACCCCGATGGCAAAACACCGGGGGGGCGGGGGGTGTGTTTTTTTTGCGGCGCCCCCTCCTGCCTTCTGCGGGCTCTGCGCTCTCTGCTGGCGCTAAAGCTCTGGCACAGCACACCACACAGGCTGCGAACCACGACATACTATCTGCTGTACGGTTTTGATGGTGCTCGCCGCCATCTGCTGTCGTGGGCAGAGAAAATAAGAAATTGCCGATTGAAGAAATTCAGCAGGATTTGGCGGCGCCAAAAAAAGAAACTTGAGATGAGAAATTGAACAACATACATACGCTGAGTTTATAGCCCACAATCAAAATTGGAGGCTGGACCTGAATTAAGCGTTTCTTAATTGCGGGCGCTAACTGTAGTCATCATACGGACCCCTGTGTACTTCCGAGATATCGCGCGCTGTCTCGCTACGTTTGTTTTCTGCGAGCCAGTCTGCGAATATGTGCTTGAACGTGCGACATCGCCATCCATTGTGCTCTGACCAATCGTCCACACGCGCGACTGGCAGGCTAGCGGCAGCTCCAAGCTAGATGCTCATGGGGATATGCATGAGACGATTGCAAACACAGCCCTCTGGTGTGCGGGGTGTCTGCCATCTCTCGGTGGTCTCCACCGCCCCACAGCGCCAGCGGTGAAGCACGCAGCGAGAGCCGGGCGACCAAGCGCCGACGTCTCAGCTAAAAACCCGGGGATACATGGGTAAAGGTCCCCGTTCCCCCCCAAAAAATGCCCCCCCCGCCCCCACGGACCCCGAGATTCGACTATAAATAGGTATACATGTCTTGATTTTTTTTCGCGTAGACCCTTAGTACTTTAGAGAGAGAAGAAGATCCGCACACATAGTCTATGCATCCAACCGCCATCATCAATCGGTGCTGCGTACAAAGTTCGGCGTCCAACCCGACGACCATCCCGCTTTCACAACCAAAAACACCACCAGCACTCGGTGGAGACGACTCGTCTTTCGATTGCACACACACGCATAACCTCTTTGTTTAAGGGTATAGTCTAGGCAACAAAGTATAGGTACACTGCCATCGTAGTTACTACAGTTATAATAGTTACGTTGTCAACAAACGCCTGCTCGTTTCTCTGAAAGAGAATTCTTTTTGCATATCTTCTTTTTCCCGAAGTCATGATGTGTAAAAAGGGTGTTTGCCCGACACGAGATAAGGTGCCCCAAGCCTGATATACTGACATGTGGTTCCCACAACCCCCCCCGGATACAAGCGAGCGGACAGCTCAGCATCGTAGACAAATACGCGGGTACCACGACGCACCCCCCGTAGCATGTACGGTAACCGGAACCCGACCGGCTGGCGGCGGACAAAAAGCCCATTTTCACGTGCCCGGGTTCGAACCCGGGACTTTGACATTGCAGGGAGGGATGATATCCTGCCGCTGACGCCACTGTAAAAAGGGTGTCTGCCCGACACGAGATAAGGTGCCCCAAGCCTTACATACGAACATAAACAAAACATGTGGTGCCCACAGATGTACTATAATAAATATTTCTGCTTCATTCATTCATCAGCCCTGTTTTTCAACGTTGTTATTGTACGAAACGCACGGTGAAGCCGTACGTTGCAGTGCAGTGGGAAAGGCCCCTCTCGCAAAGAGGATTGATCCATGCATAACAAATCGTCTACTAAATCCCCAACAATAGTACTACACCTACTATATTTCTTGTTGTGGGGTACGAATGAACGTAAGATATAAATCTGGAAGTAAGGAGCGAGTACCGTTCGTTCAACACTCTGTCTCAGAGGGCGAGCGCATCAATCTATCTACGAAAGCCGAGTTTCTTATGATCTGCGATGACAACCCGGAATCGTTCCATATCCATCCGTTTTATGTCGGCGGTGTAGAGTCGTATCTGAACATATCAACGGATTTGGACAGCTGTTGGAAATGGCCACATGGAAGGTCTAAATGTCTTATTTTTCCGCCGACCGACGGCTTCGGCTGCCCTGAAGTCGTAGTCCCTTACGCCGGGCGTCAGGGCCGAGTCCCGGGGAAAACTCTCGGAAGACCCTAACCCTAACTAACCCTTGCAGGAGGAAGGCGTGGCAAATGACCGTGTTGTGTACCCCCTCCCGTGTGAACTGGATGGTTGGTAATTGTGCGAAAAAGTACACTAAAAGTGCAGTACTCTGCCACACACTGAGAGATAGAAAAGGTGCCCGCAGTTTTCAGATTGGCCAAATGTTTTTGAACGGAATTTTTACTGTGTGCGGACAATTCCATGGTCGACCGGTGATGACATCCACGGCCAAGGCGACACTTCTCGGGGAAACTCGAACACTTCAAATTCGCCGTGGGTGACTGATTGGACCGATGATGACGCCAGACTTTCACGGGCACCTTTCCTTTCTCTCTCTGAGTGTACAGTACATACAGTATTAATAAACAGGACGAAAACACACGAGCACCACACAACACACGCACAGGTTGGAATTGGGAAGTTGCTAAATTTTGGGGTTCCCACAACACAGCAGTACATAGTATATTGCGGACCCGGAAAAAGGGCCTACCGTAGGTTGGTAGGGCAAAAACGAAGATACCACACCCCCTGGAGCGATTTACGAAGTTCGATAATTTTTCGGCAAGAAAAGCATTGACGGTGCCAGAAATGGCGGCGTTGGAAGCGTCTCGTCCAGAGCTTTCCAAAAACATGCTTTTTGAAATCGGCACCCTCTTTGTCGTGGAGTAATCGAGTTGTGAAAATCGGTCCAGGGGGTGTGATGTCTTACGCAACCTTAGCGGTATTCGAGTCCATGCTGGCAATCAGTGCGACAGCCGCGAACCCCGTTCCGTAGGGCTACTGTAGAGCGAGTCCAACTCATGTGGGTCTCCTCACGGCCAGACCTTCTCCTACATCGCCAGGTGTACGGACGGCGTTGTGTGTGCGAGAGCTACCTACATCAGACAAATTAGCCGACAGCCGAGAGCAGCAGGTGTCCGCGTGCGGTGGAATGATCATGTACACGTTCTTGGTCGCGTGCCCCCCACCGGGATGTCTCAAGATACCACACGACGCCGTACCACCCCTCGGTCTACCATTCGTAACGGGGCTCTGAGGATCTGGGATCACTCCAACGAAAGCAGGGCGTACTGGCCGCCATATCAAAACACCGTGCCGTGAACATTTGTGCTTGCTGAAAGCGATAGAGAGTGAAAAGCCTGAGCATGTCTCCTTGTCTGCTACTACGGCGGTTGTGCTGGGTGGCGGCACTGTTGCCGACCCAGGTGGGCGGTCACATGCTGGATGCTAGGGCTCATCAAGTTATGGAGCCTTGCCGGCAGAGGTGAGGTTGCGTGAGAGAGACACAGCCGAGTGAGGCTTCACGTAGGGGAGAACATTGAGCAGGCTAAGTTGTGTGCGCACACATCAAGAAAAACATGGCAAACTCTGACAGTCCCGCCAAACACGCGCAATTTCATTCACTTCTTTTATTTTTGCTCTTAATATCACACAACAAATCCATCTCTATATATAGAAATAATTTAGATTAGCAATGAATCCGTAGTGTGAGCGAAAAGCTGCCTGTATGTCTACGGTTTCCCAGACAGCATACAACGATATCTCCCCTGTGGGTTAACAGCCTCAACAAGGCAGTTTGGTAGCCATCTTGTGTATCTATCTGTATGTTATGTTGGGAAGTTGTAGGCGGAAGATTTAGGGGACCTCGGTTTGTCGGGTGTTCATTATGGCACCTTATGTGGCTGCGGAGCAAGCGCGTCTCAGGATATAAGCATGTGCGCTCGCGACGTGTCTTTTTGGCACTCTAGCTCCAAGAGAATTGCAAGGACATTCTCTCTGCCTATGCATCCAAATGTTCGCCCGCCTTGCTTGTACAGCAACAATGCATTCCGAAGGTGAAAGTCCAGGGTATACGTTGGTCTGTTACCCTGTTTTGTTCTTGCAAGAACCACAACGAATTAACCTCTTCCATAGATAAGAAGAGTCCGATAGATTGGCAATGAAGCCCATGTCCCCGCTCGCTGCCTAGCAGAAACTTTTTTTTTGTTTATGGCTTCTCAATCTCGGCCCTTCTCTAGAGCTCTGGCAGAGCAGCGTTTCAGGTTTCTTGGAATTTTCTCTCAAACGAAAACTTTCTCTCTCACTCTCTCTCTTTCTCTCTCTCTCTCTCTCTCTCTCTCTCTCTCTCTCTCTCTCTCTCTC